TCTCTCTCTCTCTCTCTCTCTCTCTCTCTCTCTCTCTCTCTCCAGACGAGAACTTTCACTCCAGAGAATTCAGAGGGTATGTCAATTAATTGAAGCAGCACACAGATTCGCAATAAGCAACACGCAGCGACTGTCGGCGCGCGGAGAATTCCCAGGTGGTGAGAATCTCGACTTACCCGCGGTATCCAAGAGGTCGACCTTGAGCGTCAAGGTGCCAAGGACGCATTCCCGGGAGTAGAGGTCCTCCACGGTGGGTCGGTACCGTTCACTGAAGCCTTGGCCGAGCAGACGGCGTATAATAGAGCTCTTGCCGACCCCGGCGCCGCCGAGTACCACCAGCCGGATCCTCTCGAGATCGGCCATGCTGTCGTCGCTTGGTCGCGGCCGGTCGCTCCGTGACCTCGAGGACGACCGCGAGAATGCCGCCTTAGGAAGGCATTACCCGGGAGATCGGTCGTCGTAGCCTCCACCTCCTGAAAATTCAATACGAGCTCCTCGTCCCTACGTCCCGCCAGCCGCCACGTCCTGTGCCCGCTCCTCCTCCTCCTCGCTCGCTCCCTCTCCCTCCTGCTGTCCGTCGCCTCCCTGTCTCGTCTGGATATTAATTCGATTCCCCGCGGCAGTCCTGACCGCGGTCAGGAGCGGGTAGATGGCGATGGCAACCGAGAGTGCTCCACGGGATCGATCGATCGCGATCGGCGCGAAACGATCGCGTTTTTCCACCCGACGTCGTCACCCGCCGACGTTGTCCTCTCCTCCATTCACTCACCCCCGACGCTGCGCTCTCGCGGGACCTGGCATCCTCCTCGGGGAAATCGCGGCCGCCGCGTTCGAGCCGCTGTCCCTGTCGAGGGGGAGGGAGACCGTCCGGTTACGCTCAGGCGCTCAACACGAAATTAGCCCGGCGATATCGAGTTACAGGGGAGGGAGAGACACGCGGTAACGCCGTTTAAGACTGCCAAGGGCGCCGGAAATTGGACTAAACGGGATAATTATCGATCCGGCGCTAATCGGAATATTCCGCTCGTAGCGGCGAGCTTTAACGAGACGCGATGTCTTACGGGCGCCTTACTGTCGGCATCGATTTTTCAAATGCCCAATACGCGTCACGGTTATAAATTTCTAAAGGGGCGCCACTGTCAAGGCTGACTCTCTCTTTTTTCACGTCGAAGAGCCGATATCTCAGTGTCGAGGAAAACCTGGTCCGCGATGCCGATACTTGTTCTTCCCGCCCACCCTTATTCTATTATACGAGAGTAGGGTGAAAAGTTCCGCGCCTGAATAAGAAAACAAAATTTTTTTGGATTGATTTTTATTTATTTCTCAACTTATAATCTCCATTTAGCATGATACACTTTTCTCAACGGTTCTAAAACGGTTATATCAGACTGATAGGTCTATTTGTCGAGCCTCAAAATAGCGTCAATTTACAGCGTCGCTGACTTGATTGTCGTTAACAAATCTTTTTCCACCAAGCCATTTTTTGAGGTTGGGAAAGAGACAGAAGTCGCTTGGAGCTAAATCTGGCGAGTATGATGGGTAGGCAAGCAATTCAAACTTTAATTCATTGATTTTAGCTTAATCACAGTACGAATTTCAACTTTTTCCATTTTTACAAACAATGCTTGAGGTATTTACTTTGGAGAGCTATCAAAGCAATACTACAATTTATTGACTTGAACCTTCAAATATAAACACATGAAAAATGAAATAATGCAACATTATTAAAATATTGAACATAGTAGAGTTATTTATATGTGGGGCCCGGAACCTTTCACTCTATCCTCGTATATTCACATATGTGAATATTTTGATTCAAGATTGTTTTGTATTTCTTAGAGATCTTTAGTTTTTTGAAAAAGGTTTTGTAAATTTTTTTTATTTTGTTTTCTACTTTTCTATTTTGTTTTCTATTGGGAGTGTGAATAAGTTCTCGCCGTTTCACCATCAGATGGCGATATAAAAATTTTGTGCGTATAATTCAAGATGATGATGAAGTTCTATAACCTATGTTTAAAATCAGTGCGTCTCTTTCCATTAACCTATAAAGAACATTTTCTTTTCGTAGCGTAAAACATGTCAAATTTCGTGCCAAATAAATCGTTTTTGCGGGGAATTTTACTGCACTACTTTATTCAGAAGAAATCTGCAGCTGAAGCACACAGAATTCTTGTAGAAACCTATGGTGATCATGCTCTGTCGGAAAGAACATGCAGAGATTGGTTTAACTGATTTAAACATGGTGATTTTGATGTTCAAGATAGAGAACGCAGTGGTGCACCAAAAAAGTTTCAAGACGAAGAATTGGAACATTACTTGCTGAAGATCCATGTCAGACGCAATCCGATGTTGCAAAATCATTAGGAGTTGATCGAACAACAGTTTCGAAACGTCTGACAGCATTAAGAATGATACAAAAGGAAGGATCTTGGGTGCCATACGAACTGAAGCCGAGAGACGTCGAACGGCGTCTTGTTACGTGTGAACAGCTGCTTCAACGACAAAAAAGGAAAGGTTTCTTACATCGTATTGTGACTGGTGATGAAAAGTGGATATACTACAGTAATCCCAAGCGTAAAAAATCGTGGGTTAAGCCCGGCGAAGCAGTAGCATCAACGCCAAAGCGGAATATCCACGGTTCCAAGCTCATGCTCTGCATTTGGTGGGATCAGCTGGGGGTAGTGTATTACGAGCTGCTCCAACCCAACCAAACCATCACAGGAGATCTCTATCGACGACAATTGATGCGTTTGAGCCGAGCATTGAAAGAAAAACGGCCGCAATATGAGCAAAGACACGATAAGGTGATTTTGCTGCATGATAACGCTCGGCCGCATGTCGCGTCATCGGTCAAAACATACCTGGAAACGCTGAAATGGGAAGTCCTACCCCACCCGCCGTACTCTCCAGACATTGCGCCTTCTGATTACTATTTATTTCGATCGATGACTAACGGCCTGGCTGAGCAGCACTTCACTTCGTATGAAGAAACGAAAAAATGGATCGATAGGATAGTCACAAAAGAAGTGTCGTTTTTTCGACGTGGAATTCAAATGCTGCCAGAAAGATGGGAAAAAGTAGTCTCCAGCGATGGGCAATACTTTAATTGACTTGTTTTTTTATTATTTTTTTTTAAATAAAGGATTTATTTTCACAAAAAACGGCGAGAACTTATTCACACTCCCAATACTTTTCTATTTTATTTCGTTGAAAACATTTTTTTCTTTTGCTAATAATATATTTTATAATTCTATCTGCTATAAAAGTTTGTTTTTGAAGATGAAACCGTCTTTAGTTGAAGATAATTTTTCTCGAAATCGGTTAAAAGTAAAAGTTTCTTTTCGAAAGAATTTTCAAGAAAGCAATAGGATTTCCATATCACCTGGATAAATCTGATGACACCCCACCCCTTGATCCAAGAGCTATACAGATAACACACGTATTAAACAAGTTACGGAAGTTTCATCTTGATATCTCCATCGATTCTCGAGTTATGAGGTGACATACAAAAAAACATATGTACGAAAGAAAATGAAAAACTTCCTTTTCATGAAGTCAATTAAAAATGCTTTAAAACATTTTAATTGATATTTTAGAGTTCCGCGGTGTATGGTGAAATGCTTGATCTGGCTTCCGCATTAATACCCCTTCCTTCGTAGATTTGTTTCCAAAGTTTCGTGAGCATTTTAGTTCACTTCTTTAGCAAAAGAACAACACCTGAACGACATCTCGTGATCCGGGTCTCACTTTGAGTCTCTGTCAAGTCGTTCCTCTACGAAGAAGAGTCCTGAAGAGGCACTTAAATTGTTTCATAAAATTATAACGACTCGGCTTTTAAAAAGTATTCAAGTTTATTTCTAGAGATATCAGTAGATATCTTTAGAAAAGAGAAGAGATAGATATAGAAGTAGAAAAGCTTTGAAAAATATTCGAGATTATTTCTTCAGCAGATACTTTTAACACGTCTCATAATACGTTCAGAAACAGACTATGTGTATTTCACTTTCTGTTTAAAATTTCTCCAGATTTTTTGTAGTTTTACACTTCACTTTTAATGCATGGTAAGACAGGCTGTTTTTTCTGCTGTTAATTCGAGAGAAAATTAAAAGGATCCCTGTTTCCCAGTCTACTTTATATTCAGTAATAATAAGCAACCCATATTTTATCTGAGAGAAATCCGAAATTACTTTTTACATGATCTAATAATTAATGGAGTCGCAACGACCTACCAACGGTCACAGCGAACGAATGAAGTTACATTCTCTCGCGTTTCCCTTTCCCTTCGCCCAGCAACATAACACATAATTTAGCGGAAATTAACATGACTCGGAAATACCGCGGGGTTTTGTTCATCGGACGGAAATGTACGAACGCATGGCTGTGGTGTGCTGGCGCGTTTTCCTTCCCGTTTCTTTTTTTTTTTTTTTCTTTATAGCAAACACACATGGGAAATGAATACGTAACGCTCCGGAGCGAAATGTATTGTTGTAATGAAACGAGACTGGTGCGTGCGTCGCGTGTATTAAATCCCGATTCCGAGGATATATTTCTCCGCGACTCGGTCGGTCTCTGCCCGCGGTCTCTCATGTAGAGAACTTACGTTTGCGCGATATTCTCGTTTATTAATCAGCGCTCGCTTTTTAATTTTACGCTATTATTAATCGTCTCTCCATTAAATACATGAGCGCACGCGCACGTATACACAAACGCACACAGCTGTCACGTTTTATTTGAGCATACTACATTTGAAAACATCGATAAACAACGACACTGATTTCTATTTACACAATATATGAGAAAATCCCCCTCCTCCCCCATTCGCCTCTTCCCCGATGGGCGCCGATTAATCGGTCGTTCAAACGTATACATTTTTTACACTTACATGCATCGATCGCGAGCGATATCGCCTCGAGTATTCATCGTCACGGACCAGGTTCTCGTGACTAATGGAAAACACACCTTGCTTCCCCGATAAGAATACGTTTTTTTATAATTAAACATATCGACCAGTGACTAGCGTCGCGTCGCCGCAAATGAACAATTTAACTAGGAAATAATACTTATTTTGATATGAACTTTTAGTTAATACTTAGTGGTTGCGTAACAAATAATTATGTCTCGATTCAATGATTTTTTTACACTTGCATGCATCAATCGCGAGCGATATCGCCTCGAGTATTCATCGTCACGGACCAGGTTCTCGTGACTAATGGAAAACACACCTTGCTTCCCCGATAAGAATACGTTTTTTTATAATTAAACATATCGACCAGTGATTAACGTCGTGTCGCCGCAAATGAACAATTTAACTGGGAAATAATACTTATTCTGATATGAACTTTTAGTTAATACTTAGTGGTTGCGTAACAAATAATTATGTCTCGATTCAATGATTTTTTTACATTTGCATGCATCGATCGCGAGCGATATCGCCTCGAGTATTCATTGTCACGGACCAGGTTCTCGTGACTAATGGAAAACACACCTTGCTTCCCCGATAAGAATATGTTTTTTTATAATTAAACATATCGATTAGTGACTAGCGTCGCGTCGCCGCAAATGAAGAATTTGACTGGGAAATAATACTTATTCTGATATGAACTTTTAGTTAATACTTAGTTAAATATTGGAGGGTCAAATTTAAACCAATTTCTTGAGTTAAATAATATTTAGTTATTTTTAACTATCATGTGTGTCAAAATTTACTATTTTAACACAAAAAACAACCACATCTAATCAACCCACTTAAAACAATATTAAGTCATTTTTTACTAAAACAAAGGTTACATTAACGTGCATATAAAAAATAAACTAAATTTTAATCAAATTTAATACATTTCTTAAATTAAATTATTTAACTCCATTACATTAGTTAAATTAACGACATATTTAGTAGGAGCAGTGGCGACTTATAGGAATGGTTAAAAATAACTCAAATTGAGTATAATTTGACACTACAGATTTAACAGTGTAGTTGCGCAACAAATAATTATGTCTCGAATTATTCAATGATTTATTTGTTGTTAGCAGTTGCTCTCCCGGGCATTCTAATATTAAAACATCGATCAAATAAATTATTTGACTATAGAATCGATTATTTGATTATAGAATCGATTCAATAGATTATTAGACGTTATTGGCGCGAAGAAATCATATTGAATGACAAGTGGTGATTACGCAAAAGAAATATTAAATGGCAAATCTACCCAAATTGCATCATATTTCCCTCTAAATCTCGGCCCTCTTTCAGCCCGCGTGCCGTCGAAGAAGCCGATCCACGGCGGAAGCAAATCTCCTTTCGATGAAAATTTATCGCGGCTGTTGGTTAATTATGTTTAATCCCATCTCGCGCGCGCCGGATGGCGCGTAATGAAATTTTGCGCCGGTATTTACAGTTCACACGGTGAAAAAGCGCGTCATAGCTGTCACCGTGGCGAGACACGGCCCGTAATTCACCCTGCCTCACGCCCCGCGGGAATTATGAGAGGAAAAGAAAGGAGCGTACCTCTCTCGCTTCTGCACGATTTATCCTGTCGCTCGGTTATCTTTCCCTCTTCTCTCTTTCGCTCGCCTTCTCTTGTCTTGTCTGTCTCCTTCTCACCGTCAGGGAATCTCCTCGCCCTCTTGGCGAAAGTCACAGGTGGCTGTCGGCGTCCTCCTTCTCTTCCACCACCGCCACCTCCTCCTCTTCTTCCTCTTCCTCCTGCTCCTTCTGGTCTTTCTTGTTCCTGCGGGAGCGTCCCGCGGAAATTTCTACGGGATTAAGACGTCGCCGAACACGCCGCTGCTGCGCGACAGCTGGCTCTGTTTTGCAAAATAAGCCTTTAATCATCGAGCTCATTAGGTGCAAACGGCAAGTCGGCGTCGCGACTGCCGACTTTATTGCGAGCTGAGGCTTTTTGCGCGCTTAGCCCATTTGTAAGGAACCTCGTGCCACCTCCACCCCGCAATCTCATGTGGTATCTCCCGGTGGCGCTTAATGAACTTGACGGCTGTCGCCGCGCGTTTGTGCGGCTTCGCACGGTTTTGCACACAGCATATTCATCGCGGTCTCCTTTCGTCGCGTTGCGCGCGCTCGTTACGGCGCTTTTGTCGGCGTCGCGGTTCTGCTTTTAACGCGCGTTACGAGTCGAGATTATCTCCGCGTGGCCGAGGATAAAGCGAGCTGCGGAGTGGTGTGGCGAGCTTTCGCGAGGCTTATTAGATCGTTGCGCATTCAAAGGTCGCGGGAAAGTTTGCGTCCTCCACTGGAATAGCTAGTGGCGAAAGCATGTGGGATCTATGAGACACGACTGACGGAATGGGGGAGAGTTGTGGAAAGGACATTTTAGGGTGTTAATGCATCTTACCATTGTGTCGATTCACTTCGCACGCTCAACAGCTCTTGCGTCTTCTTTTCATTTGTCTCTCTTACGTGAATGTCGATACCAGCGTTGAAATATTGATCCTGTAACAAAAGAACGAAGATTTAGCGAAACTCCCAAGTCGAAAAATCAACTTGATCAACTTGATTACACGTCATAAGGACACATTCATACCTAATAATGTAATGCTTGAAAAGTTGTTCCAGTTGTTTTTTGTAAATTTTATCTATTTGATATTTCAGACTTTCGAGGTGTTGTCTAATAATTTGAAAACAATAATTTGTTTTCTGAATTTTGACCGCGTCTTCTTTATGTTTAATTCCGACGTTTCGTGAACATTTCAGACTGAATTTCAGATTTTTCTGCTCGCTGAAGAAGTGAACGTTCACGGAACGTTGGAACTAAACATAAGGAAGACGCGGTTCAAACCTGGAAAACAAGCAAAATAAAAAAATTATGAGATTCTAGGGTCGGAACAGTTCAACTGTGTACTGTGATTATTTCCAGCCGAAATTAGAAGTAAATAAACAAGCGGTTAATTACAGATGAATTATTCTTTCTTCGCACGGTTAAATTTTTTAGCATTTGAGCAAAAAATTACATATATTTGCAGAAATTCAGTCAGAGGTATGTATTTAACAGATAAAACATGTGTTTAATTGACAGAGGTTTGCTATAAACATGTGGACAAATATTTAATGCAAAATGTGGTCTTCATTTGCCGCGATTGTTACGCGATATTCCCGCGAATTTGTGTCCGCCCTTGTTTTCAAGCTGATTAAAACGGGCAAACCGAGCGAGACGAAGTAATTGCGCAATCCGCCTATCTTAACCGCTGAAAGAGAGATAGAGAAAGAGAGAGGGAGAGAGAGAGAAAGAAAGAGAGTGTGTGCAGCGTTCCTGAGCTATTAGGATAATTATTCACATCATTAGTATTTCTCGACATTCCTCTCCCCTTTCCTTTTACACGTGCGTATAATCCGTGGAATTTTGGATCGCGCAAAGTGGATCACACGTAGGTACTTCAGCGATTTCGACATATTTTTAATCTGTATCTTGAGGACTATCGCGTTTCCGGGAATTCCTGCAAATACTTGGTGCACTTACGCACGTTTCTGTACGCGAAACAACACGCTGCATCGGTCAATTGTGGATAAACACATTTCGTCCTTCAGATTTACGGCGCGTGATAAAATCCGGAAAAATGTCGCGATGAAATTGCATGATCCATTATTTGCCGCAACTTTACGGTACCTTCCTCGGGAAGTGTATGAAGTTGGCACCCCACTTTTTGAAATTTATAATTTTGAAAGTTGTTCCAGATTGTTCTGACTTTGTACCACATTGTTCCAAAGTGATATTGCTTCATTCGAAACGGTTTTCGAATAAGACAAAAAAAATGATTTTTTGAACTGGCACCCCACTTTTCGAAAATCTAACATTCTGATACCGATATAGATTGTTCTAGTTGTTCCAAACATTGTTCTAAAAGCACAAATTAACAAGT